ATATATATAAAAATATTTAAAAAAAGAAAACCAACATGGTCCCTTAGTTTTTAAATTATTATTTTTTACGAAAACTGAGGGAGTCCGTTGGTTTTTAAAGTGTAAAACTGTCGTAGAATAAAAATGATTAAAATATTTTATCAAAGAGTATTTATGGTTGAGCGGTAGAATTGTCCAATGTTACAATAAGTATTTGGATTTAAGTCCGATTAGCTACATTTTTATGTATGAAAAATCAACCCAATTTGGTGTCTTTTTTTCTTAAAAGTTTTATGTTGGTATTTTAATTTATTGAAATCGGTGAGCTTGATCGGTTGTCTCTCAGTATTATTCAATTGAATTCGTTGATTTCGTAAAACTAACTCGGGTCAAATCAGTGATTGTAAAATTTGCGGTTGGACGTCATTTTTAAAACATCGACCAAGTCTTAATTTTGACTCAATTTCAAGTGGTGAATGTTGCTGACACCCAATTTTGGCCCTCCAAAATATGAGTTAATTATTGAACTTCTTTAATTTCAAACAATTTGAAATAATTAGCTTCTATAAATTCAAAATATTTTCAAGTTATTTTTAAATTATTTTATCATTTTAAAATAATATATATGTTTCTTTATAATTATATATATAAAATTACTTCCTTTTATAAATATTTGAAAATCGTCTCAATGAATTTTGTTTTTATCTAGATATTTTATTAATTAGTTAATTTAATTAATAGATTATGTTTTGAATTAATTAGTTCATAGTTAAATTAATTATTTTATTTTACTAAGATTAAGAAGCTCGTTAATTAATTGATATTAATTTGTCTGTTTAAATTTTAGTTGAATTCACTAATTAACTCAATTTGGCTATGTTTTAAACCTAAACTAGCTAAATTTGCAATCCATGTGGCTAAATCTTAAGTACTAAATCTATCCAAACATTCCCCATTTTTCAGACTCAATTTCAGCCCAAACTTGACCCAAATCCCTTCCCTTTACAGCCCAATACCCAAAACAACATTCCAACTCAACAATACAGACACAAATCCCTTCCCATTTTCTTCATCGAGTCAACCTCTTCAATGGGAAGATGGTATACGTTGAAAGGGAAGCTGAAACAGGGGTCAAAAGGATGAAAATATACAGAAAATGGAGCTGATATATGAACTTATATACACTGATTTACAGAATTGATATACACTGAAAATAGAAGTAAAACTGACCGGATGTTTCTGGACAGCAGCAATTTAGGCCATAGAGGCCCAAATTCATTTTCACTCTTTTACTCTATTAAGTATTTGCTTGTAAATATATATTGTTTATTTGTATTAATTTTTAACTTTGAATATTTAGATTAATTTAATTAAGTTTCTTAAAGATAACGTTTTTATGTTAATTTACTCTTTAACTGATTTTATTTGAATACTTTTCTTACTTGGTCGTTTTTGACAATTTTTACTTTTTTCAATATACTTCCAAGTGTTTAAGCTAAGTTATTTTTTAAATGACTTTTAATATCTTTTCTTTTAAGTTTTTCTCAAAATTTAGTTTTTTAAATCATCGGATAACCACTTAGCGGTTATTTTGAGTGCGGATACCTTTTCAAAGTGGACATGGAACCTTTTACCTTTTTTCTCTAAAATTTTAAGACTTAAATCTGCTATTCTTTTAAATTAAATTTTCTTAATTTCTTTTATAAAATTAGTAACAATTCCTTCAAAAGTTGTTTTTTTTTCCTAAAAGTCGAAATCAATATTTTAACAGTCTTTTTCTTGACACATAAAACATATATCACTTAATAAGAACAACAGGTTCTTCGATTGATATTATTTAACAAACTTTTGCCGTCAATATTTATCGTTTTTTGTAAGTATGTTTTTAATTAACTTTACAAGTTTTGAAGACTTGGATATACAAGTGAAGATGCATGTTTGAGGACTTCATACAAGCTGATTATTCTTTTGGAAGGTCTTCTAAGCAAAATTTAATTCACCTTATTTTTTAAGGTTTTTAGTTTTTGCCAAGGCAAAATTTTACATATTTTCGCAATAGATATTACTTATTTTCCTAAGGGGTAGCGTAAACAATATAGTGACTTATAACATGGTCGTTCAATCATACTAATGAGGTGTTGATTCATAGTTTTTAATTAATGATATATACGAAACTGGATGTTATTGATAGGAGTGTTCATGGTTATGGTTAAAAAATCAAATCGAACTGCAATTCTAACCAAATCAATTAAAAAAATCGATATTTGGTTTGGTTTGGTTTGGTTTGGTTTTAAATTTTGAAAACCGATATTATTTGGTTTGGTTTTGATTTTGCTAAAAAACAACCACAAAAATAACCAAACCGAACCGATAAATTAGATATATAAATTTTATAATTATTTATATATTATTCATAAATAAAATATGTAAATATTTTGTTAAATTTTAATTAGCTTAAGTCTTTACTTTACCATTTTCTCAAACTCAACACTTTAGCCCAACTATAACAATCCTAGGTCCAAGTCCATCAAAATCCATTTAAGTCTTTACCTACCCTACTTTACATAAAATAGTCACATTTTCTCTTAATTGAATCACTTTGTTCGTGTAATGATAACTCTAGTATCGCTTAATTGCTTATTAATTGAACCCACAATAGTTTTTTTGTGAATTGTTCATGTACTAGGTGTTTGTGTCTATCGAGATACATACTTTCTCAAAAAAAATATTACTTTCAAACCGAATAAACCAGAAAAACTAAACCAAACCAAACCGACGGTTATTTTTTTTATTTGGTTTGGTTTTAGAAATTTAAAAAATCGAATAGATTGGTTTGATTTTGGTTTTAATCAACAACCGATTCAAACCGAACCACGAACACCCCTAGTTATTGATATGAAATTTAGATGTTATATATAGATAATTTTGATATGCAATTTGGACATTGTGATACCTAATTATAAATTGAAATAATAATACGTCGGTGAAAAAATCATATACACAGCTACGCACCATAATTTATGGTCAGTGTAACACTACTTTTGGTGACTTGATTATTTGGTCCATATATAGTCATTTAGGGGGCAATTAAGATCTTGTATTAAAAAATAGAGGAACTTTCGCGTATAGCCACTAAAAAATAGTTTAATTATTCTCCATAGCTATAGTTTGATAATTACAATTCGTAGCTACATGTTATAGGGAGGAGAGAGCTGAGCGAGACTGGGAGAGAGAGGAGAGAGGCGAGCGAGAGAGGGAAAGGAGTGGGAGAGAGGCGATCGAGATTGGGAGAGAGAGGAGAGAGGCGAGCGAGACTGGGAGAGGGAGGAGAGAGGCGAGAGGCGAGCGAGACTGGGAGAGGGAGGAGAGAGGCGAGCGAGAGAGGACAATAATTTGTATAATTCGCATCTCGTTTGTATAATTCGCAGGTACGCTTGTATAATTCACGTGTCTTTGTATAATTGAGTAATATAAATTCTGGATTATACAAATATAATAAAACTCGAAATAACAAATTGATACAAACATAACTATATGAACTTTAAACAATTATACAAAATATATTATACAATTACATAATATAAATTATATTATACAAAATCCAAAAACTACACGTTTATACAAATTTTAAAAAGTTATACACAAAAAGATTGAATGTATATGATGACAAAACTGAAAAACCAAAAGAAATCACCGTCATATACAAATGTAAACAATCGTGTACAAATACAAATCAAACAAAAAATTGTTACATGCGAATTATATTACAAATATGGAAGTCAGCCCACGTAATTAATGTATAATATTAGTCGCGAGTGGTAATTATAACAAACTATAGTTATGATGAGTAATTAAGTAGCATAAATTTGCTTAACCGCGTAATTTTCTTTAAAAACGTGGTAGCTAAATATCTTCATGCAGTGAAATTAGTGACTAAGCACCCTATTTAGGGACCGAAAATTTTTTGGTGGTAAAATCTCTTTAAGGAATAGTTCAAAAATTTCGTCGACTTATAGCGGTGATCAACTCTCTTCAAACACTATTAACTTTTAAAATCAGAATTTCCGTTATTAAAGGTTTTTTTTCTTGTAGTAAATAAGTGGATTTCTTTTTGGGTGGGGTTAGGGATGCCTTAGCTTGTGTACAATTTAACACTTGTTTTTGTTTGTCGTACGTAGGATGACATATTGACATTTGTGTTGGCTTTGCTAGAGCTAGCATGTTTAGCAGTATTTTGTACAACTCATATTCTCGATGATCTATACATCAATAAATTATTGCTTACATATATGTGTTTGAAAACAAATCGTAAACAAATACGAACAATCAAGTTTCAAAAGAATGAATTCCAAAGCTGTGTATTTGTTTTTTTCTTTTTTGGTTTTTTCATACAGTATTTGATATCCACATTGGAGTCTGACTAAATTCGAATTTGTGCTAAAAAATTTCATATTGAAGGATAAAATGCTCCCTAACAAAAGCGACTCTGTACCCAAGAGGAATTGTGTATTTGTTGCAACACTTCTTTTACCTCTTTTTTGTAAATGAAATAGGGTATACATTTTTTTCTTTGAATTTTTTTTAAGAAGAAGAATATGCTATTATTTGAGAAGAACAAGTTATATAATAAAAAATAAAATTAGTTGTAAATTGCACTTTTGGATTTGAAGATATAGTTAAGTAGATACGTTCATATTCTTTTTTAATTTCTATCAAAACATTTTAAATTTATAGTAGAGGCCTTTAATAAATTAATGATGAGTAAATTTATTGCATGAATTGTGTGATTACCAATTTTCATATGCATTTAATAAAGGGAACACTTAAAAGAAAACCTTAAATTGAGGAGGTTTAAATTTAATATGAACCTCCTAAATTGCATCAAATTGCTGAGGCTTTAAATAAACCCTTCCGACTTTTATGCAATTTGTGGGGTTATGAACGCCGTAAGCCTCAAAATTAAAATTATATAATTTAAGTCGTTCACTTGATCATTTCTCCAAATTTTTTATCGGAATTGAGTTTTACTCAACTTTCAATTAATAACTAGCTTTATTCTCCAATCTTCATCATACTATCCAGCCATTTATAACTTTGGTTACTCTCAAATTGATCAAAATTACCTCATTTTCCTAATAATTATCAAATTTATCCAGATCCCTCCTTAAACCCAATCCAATTCACTAAACTAATTAAATCCATACAAATTAAACCCCCATAAACAAACGCATTGATTAACGATTAAAAGATGAAAATTGAGGTTGTTCATGAAATTCACAAGAGGGGTTTGTAAGTATTTCCTTCTTGTTGAAAGAATATTGTTTATGGAATATGCCTTAGTTCTTTTATTTTTATTTTTTTATATATAATAAATGGCTTACAGAATATTTGTTATTTACACTAGGTGACAAATCAACGTTCTTCCCTTTTTCACTCGAAAGAATAAAGTAATATTGATTAAAACAAAAATTAAAAAATCAATTTGTATCAACGAGCATCTTAAAATAAGTTGATTGAAAATAGCATAGTGTTATTCGTTCGTGTAATACTTAAAAAATACAAAAAAAAAATCACATTTAATCTTCGTTCTTAAATTTTATATATAATTTCGTCTCTGTGTTCCCAATGAACTCCAACCACAATAAAAAAAAAAAGTTTTTCTTTTTCAAATTTAATTTCAAACTAAGGATTCAAATGAGTGTTTATATCTACTTCTTTTTCTTTCATTTGTAACTAATAACTATTGTCTTCTTTTTTTGATGCCTTGCTAAAATTTACACTTGTTTTTGTTTGTAGGACAAAAACATTTCTTTTGGCTTTGCTAGCACTACTTTGTACCACGCATGTTCTTGGCGCCGATAATAATTATTTGTACATTAATATCACAATACTCCATAGCGCAACTGCCCAAGGCGCAGGTAATTAAGGATGTCAAAAGAATATGAAAAACTAAATATACTCTTAATTCTTCCAAGAAAATCAAATATTCATTTGTTTTAATTTGTCAATAGTATGTCTCGATGGAAGTCCACCAGCATATCATGTGGATAGGGGACATGGTACCGGACTTCGCAGCTGGATTATCTACTTGGATGTTAGTTACTTGATTTTTGTAATTGATTCTCATATTTGACATTACTATTGAGTCGATCACCAAATTAACTTGGAGAAATAATTCATATTTATAGGGAGGCGGTTGGTGCAACAATATCTCAGATTGTCTTAATCGTTCAACTAAATTCTTAGGTTCTACAACGAAGATGAATCAACAAGGTTTTTTCGGTGGGATACTTCATAATACCTCCAAAGAAAATCCAAGTGATGAAGCTCATATATTATTTTTACCTGTTTCTTTTGTGTGCATATGTAAAATTAAGTATACACTTGTTCTAACTGCAAACAATGTTGTAATTTGGTAGAGTTTCACAATTGGAACAGGGTGAGGGTGAAGTATTGTGATGGTGCATCTTTCACCGGTGATGTTGAACAAGTCAACCCGGTAAGAAATACACATATATATCCTTACATATATATTATTAATTATGTAACGTTTTTTGATTAAATTTTTCAAATAACTTACATTAGGAGAACAAGTTATATTTCCGAGGGGCAAGAATATTTAAGGCAATTATGGAGGATTTATGGAACAAAGGAATGAAAAATGCTGAAAATGTAAGAATATATCCTATTGTCACTATCTAGCTTCATATTCCTAATTACAAGTCATATATGTACAACTACCTTATTGTATATCAAAATATTGCCAGGCAATTCTAACCGGAACATCAGCAGGAGGATTGGCAACAATTTTGAATTGCGACAAGTTCAAAAGCCTCCTTCCAGAGAGTGCCAGAGTAAAATGTGTTGCAAATGCTGGCTTCTTCATCGACGGGTATCTTCTTCCCATATTTACGTCATGAAAATGTTATTCTACACCTTCTAATCCAATTCTCTTGGCACGTTCATGATTTACATGCAGCAAGACAATAAATGGTACTTCACATATTCAAGAGATGTATCAAGAAATTGTTAACCTACATGTGCGTGTCCTCTTCTTGTTTATATTTTTTTTTTATAGTGATTTTGGTATGCTTAACTATAAATAATAAGCTTTTCTCCTCTCTCCTTCTCAGGGATCGGCTAAGAATTTACCGTTAGCTTGCACGTCTGCAATGGAACCAAGTTTGGTAATTTCTTTAAGCTTTCGAAATAAAAACAATATCTTTAATTGTATGGTGTAGTAATATAACTATTTCCCTCTAATTATAACATTAATTTTCTTTAATTTTATATGGTGCAGTGTTTTTTCCCTCAGAATGTTGTTTCATACGTTCAGACTCCACTTTTCATTATCAACTCAGTTTATGATTCCTGGCAGGTCAACGAGACAAATGCTAATTTCTCTCAATTTAAGAATTTTATTTGTTTAATTCTTCTTTAGCTTCTATATATAATTCTGATTATTCAACAATCTTTAATTCCAGATTAATAACACTTTGGTACCTTCATACCTTGATCCTCAACATGCCTGGAAGGATTGCATCAACAACATAAGTAGCTGCACATCTAGCCAACTTCTAATTATTCGAGGTTAACATTTATCTAGTGATTAACTAATGTATATGACGTTACACATGTGTAATGACTCTTCTTCTTCTTCTCCTTTAGTTTTTATTTTTAACTTAATTTCTCATATAGCCTTCGGAGTTGAATTCTTGAAGATATTTGGTGGACTACCCCCTTGTTTTACGAGGGGTTATTTCCTCACATCTTGCTATTCTCATGGTGATATTCTATCAACGTCATACTGGTATAATACTACCTCTCCAAGGTTACTTAGTAAGGTAATGTTTGTTTGTTTGTTTTATCCATATAAATTAGTTTGAATACACATATTTTTGTTTTACAATTTTATCATATAACTGTCATAGTAAGTTTTGATTTGTTCATAACAAATTTTAATCTCTTGTAACATTTTATGTGTATATATAGACAATTGCAGAAGCTGTTGGGGATTGGTACTTTGAGAGAGCAGGATTTCAACATATAGACCCGTATCCTTGTGTTAAAAATTGCAAATAATTGTAAGTTCCGTGAAATTCTATAATGAATACGCTTGCAAGGAGATACTAATGAATTAAGTTTGTCTCTCTTCATGGTCTTGTACTTACTAATGAAGTTTTAGTACACATCAATGGATAGATGATATAGTTGTGGAGTGTGAATGTATACTAATTTATAAGATCATCCAACTATAGTATGATTATTCATTTTTAAGTCACTTATGTTGATTTAGTACTTGTATCAATAGACAAGAGTGAGCAGCTTGGAAGTAAGCATCTTTCATCTTAAATTTTTTTGAATTTGAGTTATCAAGAGAGCAAAAAAGGGTGGGAGCTCCGAAAGAGAAGTTAAAAATAAATAAATTGTATGAGTAAAGTCATTCAAATTGAACTTGTTTACTTGAGCTAATTCCATAATACAAGGTAATAAGCAATGGTTATCTTTGTCAAAATCCATAATGCTCATATAATTTTCATAGCTAGATAGATGAGTAATAACTTGTTTGGCCAAAATTTTAGAAGGTCAAAAGTATTTATTTCAAAAATTATTTATTCTAAATAATAAAGTGTTTGGTCAGGTTTTTGAGAGAAAAAGTGTTTCTATGGAGTAGCAAAAACTATTAATTTTGAAAAACACATTTGAGAAAAATAAATTTAGAAGCACTTTAAAAAAATTAGTCAAATATTAATTGTTGCTCATACGTGTTTTTAAATTTAAAATTTAATTTATGAAACAAACCGTAACCTCGACGATTTTGACCCGTGAAGACATTTTCTATCCAAAAAAAAGAAGTTTGGGGCCATTTTCTGTTGATTGTTTCAGGTAATATGAATGAAGGAACGAAGGACTGACTAATAATAAAGACTTCAGGTTTCATCGCAGTAAAAGAGAGGTTATAACATCATCAGATAGCATATTGAAGTAGTCAATTTTTGCATAATTCCCTTCCTCCTCTGTACTATTGCTTTTTCTACATATTTTCATCTTCGGCTTCTGCAATATGATTACAAAGAAATTAACACACAAAAGGATTCAAAATAAGTTTGAACCTAGAAATAACCCCATCAAAAATTTATATATCCTTCGGGCAGAGACGTGGCAAGGTGGAGGTTGATGAGTTCGGACAATTCACTAGCTTTTTCGTAGACTTTATATTTGTATTAGAAAATTAAATAAATACATGTATATTAACATGTGAAACCATAAATAAAATTGATTAAAAACCCCAAACTCCTAACTTTGGCTCAACTTATGCTTTCAGCAAATTAATCCACTCAACTCTAACTAAAATCAAAAATTGAGTTGAAATTTGCAATTCTGAACACTGATCCCATCCTCCAGCAAATTTATCCACTTCAATCTAACTAAAAATTCAAAATTGAGAAAATCTTATCTGAAATTTGCAATGCTATAAGAAATTGTATCAAATTTATTAGATGAAATAATGGTAAAAAAAGTACTCCACCTTTTTGTCTTGTTGTTCCCACTTGTGAATATTTTTGCGTCGATTAGCTTTCATATTTGCTAAGAATGCCGCCTCTGGGATTTGGCGCAGTTCTGGCAGAAGCGGCGGCGGCGGAGACAGCGGGAGAGGAAGACGGTGGTGGAGGAGAAAAGAGGTTTGGGTTGAGATTACGGGCAGCGAAAAAAAAATGAATTTTCTTGTTGCCATCTTAGTTCCTAAGGGCTATTTTTTTCCTTTCAAAAATAAAGAGGGCACATCAAAAAAAAATTAAATTAAAAGGGCAAAATCGCTCCTGATTTTCTTCTGACAAAAATTGACGTTGTTGCTGTTACGGCAGCGATTTTATTTCTTTTAACAGAATGACGTCAATTTTTGTCAGGATAAAATCGCTCTTGGTTAAGAAATGACGGAGCGATTTTATCCTTTTGGTTAAGAAAAAAATTTGATGTGCCGTTTTTGTTTTTTTTTGCAAAAAAGGTTGTCCTTTTGGCTCCGAACTCGTTAATATAGTGAGTTTACTATTTTACCCCTCTTAATTGATAAGATCCTAAAATTATTTAATTTAAAATATATTAACTCAATTAAATAAATTGAGAATATAATAGGAAGAAAATAAATTGTACTTTCTTAATTAGTCAAAACTGACACAAGTAAGAATATATAGTTTCGTCCTAATGAACTCCAACCACAATAATCAAATATAATTTCAAATTAAGGATTCAAATAAGTCTTAAAAGAAAACACTTAATTAGTGGTTTGAATAAGCATTACCTCTATATTATTTTTCTTTATAAATAGAGGTAAACTCATAGTTCTCCTTCACACCTATTTCTACAGTATAGTCATAAGGATTTCCCTCTCTAAATCCTCCTTTCAATATCATAACAATTTTCTTGCTGTTAACAACATGTAATCCTAATTATCTCAATCTGTTTCTTTTTGTTTCATTTATAATTAACAAAATATGTAAAATTTATACTTGTTTTTGTTTGTTGTAGGACGAAAATATTTCTTTTGGCTTTGCTAGTACTTTGTATAACTCGTCATGTTGTTGGCGCCGAAGATGATTTGAATGTCAATATAACAATACATGAAAGTGCAACTGCTCAAGGCTCAGGTTATTAATGTCTAAATATATATCCTTAATTCCTCAAAGAAACTAATCAGATTATAATTTGTTTTGTGTACAGTATGCCTGGATGGAAGTCCACCAGCATACCATTTGGATAGGGGACATGGTGCCGGACTTGACAATTGGATTGTTTTACTTAAAAATATAAATAAAAAGAAAAATGACTAAATTTCAAAAAAATCGATTAAACTTATGATTTAAGAGAAATCGAATTTCCAAAAGGACAGAGTCGCCACTTGATTCTTTAGTAAAAATCAAGAAAAAACTTGAGGTTTTCAAAAGACTTAAACAGATAAAATCAATTGAAAAGGGTTTGAGTTCAATGTACATTCCGAGAAGGTGTTAGGCCCTCAGAATTCCAACTAACTTGCGGTTGACCGGCGATTTGAGTAAAAAAGATTTTGACTAATTTTTGAAAGTTTAAATTAAGTAAAAGAAACTCATTTTTTATTATTTACTATTTTTTATTTACTTATTTGCATTCTTCTTCTTCTTCTTCTTCTTATTATTATTATTATATAAGTATCTCAAGGGAAATAGGACTAAAGAGGATTTTCCTAAAGGGGAATAAATTGAGTGTCGATAAAACTAATATATTAAAATAAGAACTAAATAATAAAATATATACACTTTAACTTGAAAATTGAAATGACCATCCTTGAGAATTTAATTAAATTGAACCATAAAATAAACAAAGTTAGTCAATCAATACAAATAAAATAATAATAGAAGGAAGAGAAATAATTGGACTTGGACTTCGGCCCAAACCCAATTAAATTTGCCTTTCGGCCCATTTGTCCTTCTCCAATTATTTTTGTATAAATTATAGGAACCACATATTATAAGTACTAAATAACATCATATCTCTTCTAGTTTTCTATTTACCAAAAATCCCTTAAAAATGATATTTGCGGGATACATAGCGTTGTGCACGAGATACATTAGGTTTGATACATTCTACATAGCGGGATACATAGCGTTGTACACGGGATACATTATGTTTGATACATTCCACATAACGGGATACATAGCGTTGTGCTATACATAGCTTTTGATACATTCCACATAGCGGGATACATAGCGTTGTGCACGGGATACATGCGGGATACATAGGTAAAATAAGGGATTTTTGAAATTTTTGAAATAAGTAGGGATAAATAGATATTAAGGTAAGTAAAGAAGTGTAGTTAAGTAATTTGTCCATTTTTTTTTTAAATTTCTCACTGGGCTTTGGCCCATTTTTTGCACCACCTAACTTGCTGGAAATTATTAAGGGCTTTTGGCCCTATTTCTTTATGAAAATTTGTGTATACATTCTATGTATACTGCTGTATATGGCTTGTATCCAATCTATTTTGTGTTTTTCGAAACCTGTATTTTTCATTTCCGACCCTTCTTTGGACCTCAACCTGTGGCTGCTGCGTTTTTACCATATATGTTAGCGTATATTGCCGTATATCAATGTATACAAGCTATGTTTCAGCCTTCCGAAACCTATTATTTAAGTTTCTCTTTTGTTCGAATGAGTGACAAGGCTGACTCGATAAAGAAGGTTTTGTTGGGTTCCATCCCAACATGAAGATGCAGGAGAATGTGAGTCCAATTGAACTCATTTGGAGAACAAACCATGCATAGGAAAATAATAAAGAGTATTAGTATAAAACCACAACATTATCATTCTTTGTCAAAGAAAACTAGTGCATTAAAATAACATATTATGACTAAATAACCCACCTTCAAGGCAGCATAAGAACATAACTCATGACTAAGTGAACTTTACAAAAATGTACGCATACACAACATCATCAGTAAAGATCAAATAAGAATTATCTTATTTGGACATGAACTTACTAGCCTTTGACATCTAAAGTAAGCGGACCAACCATTTTCAGCCTATCCATATGAATAAATCTTTGCAACTAACCCAACGCATATTTAGACAAATAATTGAACGAAGCTTCATTTAAAAGAGAACTCAGGATAAATAAACCAGGGAATCAATTAAAGGAAATAGATTAAGATAAGCAATGAGGACTTCAAATTAAATACTGAGTTAGCAGATAAGAGTAGTACTTTGAGCAGATTTAAACCATGAATCATAAGACAAATCAACTGTAAAAGAATCTAAAACATATGGGTTTGAACCAAACTAGGTAACTAAAAAAACTCGAGGTGAGATCAGAGGACGATCACGCATAAGCTGCATTCTATAATCGGAGATTGAAACACCAATCCTTCAACATAATAAAGCTTCACGAGGCATTAATAATCAGAGAACCCAGATCAGAGAAAGATAAACATAACATGAATACTTAGATTTACACCATACAACACACCTAAGATGAGTAAAATGAAAAGTAAAACTCAAGAGGCAACCTATGAGCTTAAACAAATAACCAACAAAAAATCACACACAGTAGGCTAGGATGAGACTGAATTTAAG